CCAGTTTTGTGATGATAACAGTGTTTATGTTCTTCAAAATCGACTGCAAAGGCAGTTATCTTCTGGTGTTTCTCTTATCCATACTTCAGGGCATATGTGGGATGTGTTTCGGTATTAAACAACTCTTAAAATGCTTAATAAGATTGTAAATAATGTGTTTCCCATTGAATGTTAGGTCTATTGGTGTCAGCCATAGCCGAGAACACGAGGACAGCGCTCATCATAATAGTGGGCTCTTTGATGCCATATCTCATTATTTCGGGTATTGTTTGGCCGCTCGAAGGCATGGATTCGTGGGTCCAATGGGTGGCCACTCCTATGCCGCAGACATTACCGGTGATTGCCTTAAGGAATGTCATATTCAAGGGATGGGGTCTTAAGCGTACGTTTGTATGGTTAGGATATTTGTCCACAATTTCCTGGACAATTGTCTTCACAATTGCCGCCATTTTCTTAAACAAATTGAGAACCGATTGATTGTATTTTCATAGCATTTGTATTTAGAAAACAATTTTTAGTCTCAAATATATAGACTTTTTTCAAATTTTAAAACTCAATTGATTTGTAATAAAAATTAAATAAAAATTTATATAAAACTTGAATTTAAAAAATTAATTTTTACTTAAAAAAACTCATTTAAGACTTGATTGAGTGGAAGAGTTTAATTGAATATTAAATGACCATGGTCATACTTAAAGTTTAATCTATTTTTAAAAAACTTTAATTATTTTAATAAAGTTTAGAAATACTTATCAAAACTAAAGTGTTGTCAATAGAGAGCACTAAATGAATGAATAGACATATTTTGCATCACTTTTTTGTGCACATGTTTTGTGTTAACTTTCAATTCAATAATTCATTGATTTATTAATTGGTTTTCATTTCAAAGCAATAAGTGTTTGATTTATAAATTGCTTTTGAATTTGTATTGATTTAAACGTGAATTGATTTTTATGTGATCTTTATTTGAGGCATTATTATGAGAAATAGACATTAGTTTCACATTTGCTTTTGTGTTGAGTTTTAGTTCATTTCAAATATTGTTCAATCAATTAATGGTTTAATAATTTTCATAACATTTTGTGCTAATTATTGGTAAACATTATCCCAAATGAAGAGTTGGTCTCAGGAGTGACACAAACACCAGAAGAATGTCTTCAGAAAGTGATTCTACGAAAGTTTATCCGAAAGACAGTTTTGATAGATTTGGCGATGATTTATGTAAAGTCTTATTGTCTTATCTCTCATTTGAAGACCGATTCAGATATGAATGTCTGTCCAAACAATGGCAGCGATTGGTATTCACGACACAAACGGATCTAATTTTTTCTAATAAATCAAAGCTTATAATAAGTGCAGAAATATTTGAATTAATTGTGAAAAAGTGTGAAAACATCACAAGAATTGAATTTGAATGGAAGAGTAATGCGTTTAATATCTCAAAGTATAACTCAATTATAAGTCATTGCAATCGTTTGAATGCAATTAATTTGGAATCAATTGAAAATGTGAATAATTTTGACAATTTGTTCGCAAAGTTTGGCAAACAATTGAAATCAATTACATTTAATTTAAGAATCAATGGTTTGGCACTAAATGTCAATTTATGTACAAATTTGATTGAAATGCATATAAAAGACTATAGTTTCACAGAGAATTCATTGCATTTATTAATCGGTAATCTAAACGAAAAACTATTTCCAAAACTACAGAAATTAAGTTTTAATTTCAGTAATAATTGTGTGGAAAGTATCGATAGTTTTGTTGAAAACTATAAAAATAGTTTGAAATCAATAGATATTGTGATTTTAAGATGTGAAGAGATATCACTGAATAGACTAATCAATCGTTTGTCGGAAATGAAAGCATTAATTGATTTGAAAATACGTTTATTTACAAGCGGTGAGCAATACTTGGTATTGGAGACCATATTTGTGAAGCAATTGAAACAAATCGGTATTAATTGTCCGCAACTGAAGAGATTATCACTGCATCTGTACACCACTTCGACCGACAATTTCAATGAATTAATGCAATCAATTAATTGTTTCAAACAATTAAAACGTCTCAACATTTATGGTTTAAAGACTGGTGTCTTCTCATTTATCGGCCGTTTAAATGATTGCAAATCATTAACTCATTTATCACTCCATGGATCCGCTGAAGACATGTTTTATGAAAATATTTCAAAGCATTTCCTAAAACTTGAATTTATTGATTGTTTGGATTTAACCGATAATATATTGCTTTCGTTGACTCAATTTCCAAAACTGCGAACCATTAAAGTCTTCGGCAAAAAGAAATTAATGATAACTTCTCTGAAGAAATTGCGACAAAAATATCCAAATATCTCTTTAATTACAAATTCGAGTTTCAATTCAAATATTTAATTCAATTCTCTGTTTTGTTTACTAATATGCAATGTATTGTATGTTTATGTACTGAATACTAATTAACACAAAATATAACGATTACTAAAATTTTAATTTAAGTGTTGGTATTAATAGTGATGACAATTAGTGCCGATCTCTCACTCGACACCACTTTTTCCACTAATTATTTCTCAATTCAATTCTTTTCGTTTTTTGTAATATTTGTATAATTAGATAACTTATAATTGTTTTAAAAATAAATTACACTTAATTTATAATAAATTGTTTTAAAATTAAAATTAACTAAAACAGTAAATTAATAATTAGTTAAAATGTTAATATTGTAACAATTATAATAATTTCCTGTAAATAATTAAACAATTAAAAGATTTTATTTAACATTTAATTTGAATTTGATTTCTAAAACACAGAATTGGTATCAATTGTTAGACAACCGCTTCTTTGATGACCACAAAAATGTTTTTGTAGTTAATTATAATCAGAGATTCTCATGTTGAAATGTAATAGTAAATAGTCAACACTGTATGAGTTATAAATATAGCAATTTATAGACAGATTCATATTTGATAGCATTAGTCATGCTATAACTAAAATATAACCTCACTATACAAAAGTGGCCCATAAATGGCCCCTGTGCGTTTTAGTGATTATAATCTCATTATCAATGAGTGAAGTGTTTATGAATAGTTGATATGTTTATAGAAAATTAAACCCAAACTTTTTGATTTGTGATAACATTTCAATGTCCGGCCAATTGTTAATTCTTTATGAACTAAACGTTTAAAACAATAATTAGTAAATCTTATTAATATTTATTTTCATTTGTCTTTCTGTGCGTCTAATTAATGGTCTCTATTGTCGGTCATTCCTCGGGAACCGCTGTAAGTGTTGTGTCAAAGAACAGGAGGGGGTATATCACTGACGCGGTGTTTACGCACTTTCTTAGCCTCGGCTCTCACTTCTTGACCACTCGGTCGCGACTCAAGTGATTTGGAGGCCGTCTTCTCGCTCTCGTCCTTCCCTTCACTTACACGTGATTTCTTGTGTCCGCAAAAGTATTTATTGGCGCAGAAGGCGAGCCCTCCCAACACAATGCCGGCCACAACCAGTCGACCCCCACCTCCTCGTCTGCCCCGGCCTTTATTGCCCGGCGCTGTAGGTCTGGTGTCATCCGTCCCAATCAGATCTCTCTTAACCATTTGAAAGCCACTTAACGTACGGCTCATTCCTATGGCTCTGAAGAAGCGATTGCTTTTAGAGACCGACTTTACGGCAGATTTTAGTGCAATTTTATTGCATATAATTTGTGTCAACAATACATGTCTGAAAATAAATCCTATTCTTCTGAACGAGAATTTAATTAAAATTTAGTTTTTGTAATGAATTTAACGGATATTTTGATTTCATAATAAAATACATTTTATATCTAATTTTGTAATAAATTATAATTTCTTATAACTCTTGAGTTGTTTTACAGTTAATAACAAATGAGTCCAGAAATACAATAAAACAAATCATTTAATGGTATGAAATATAACGACAAATAAAATCATTTACAAAAGAAATTACAATGAAAAAAATTAAGTTTTAAAACAGCAAAAAATAGACATAAAAATACATTTGAATTGAGAAAACACTACTTTTCCCACAAACCGGGGAACAGTCGGACAGGGGGTCCGGGATCGTGCATCCGGTTGTAGTCAAACTTGGGTCGGGGGTGAGGAGCCATCACTAGTGCCATATCTGGGGGATTGAGTTTCGCGTGCCTGTGCTCCCAGTGCTGATGCGGCTCCGGGTCTCTGTCTCCGCATCGGCCGAAACTGACCTCTGGTGAGTGTGTCAACCGATACCACAAGAAACAGGTCAGCCCTACCGGTACGACACCGACCGATATGAACACTATAGGCCAGACGCCGGCGTTGGCCCGAGTGATGGCCACCGCTCGCCGCCAACGCGCGGCCATCGACTGCATTCGGTCGCCGGCGAACCGATCATTGAGCGGTGGGTTCCGCACGTTGTACTCCTCGACAGCTCCGGGTGTTGACATTGAAGGCATTGGATGGTCACCAGTGGGTGTGCTTTGCAGTCGACTGAGTGTGGGATGTGATGGACAGGTAGTCGAGGACTAGAGACACTTTTGGTTAGTTTTGTTGTTTGGTTTTTAACAGACTTTTGGGGTTTGTGTTAACGGTTTGTATTCTGTCTGTTGAATGATAAATTGCAGTTAATTACAACTATTTGTTGTATAATTCATTCAATTAATAAACCAATTAAATAATAATTAGTTTTATAATGAAAAACACGTTTCAATAATAGAGTAATTCATTGAATACTTAATTTGAATTTGATTTATAAAACACAGAATTGGTATCAATTGTTAGACAACCGCTTCTTTGATGACCACAAAAATGTTTTTGTTTGTAATTATAATCTCGTTATCAATGAGTGAAGTGTTGATGAGTAGTGGCGGAGATGTCTGTGAAGACGGATATATCGACTCAATCACTGAATTAAACAACAAATCGGTGGCTGTTTTCAAAGGCGATAGGGTTTGGCTGTTGGACGACAAGCACCTGAGCGGACCCTTCCCTGTGTCCCATCTGTTCACAGATATGTCGGGTTATATCGAGTCTGCGGTGACATTCTTAGGCCACGAGACGGTGACTGAGTTCGTGGGCACCGGTCTGTACTTCAATGCCACTCATTTCGTCACTTACCATAACCTGAGACGCACACAGATATGTCGGGTTATATCGAGTCTGCGGTGACATTCTTAGGCCACGAGACGGTCACTGAGTTCGTGGGCACCGGTCTGTACTTCAATGCCACTCATTTCGTTACTTACCATAACCTGAGACGCTATGAGATAGAGTGGGCGTCACTGCTATACGTGCCCCACATTGGGCTCAAGGAGTCCATCGGTTCGCAGGCAAACAAGACAATCGGCCAATTGATGTCCAGACCCACACTTACCATAACCTGAGACGCTATGAGATAGAGTGGGCGTCACTGCTATACGTGCCCCACATTGGGCTCAAGGAGTCCATCGGTTCGCAGGCAAACAAGACAATCGGCCAATTGATGTCCAGACCCACTGTCGCCTCCTATTACGACCCGATCGACAAAAGGGCGCGCTTTGTATTCGCCGACAAAACTGTCATGAGTTTCAACTTTGATATGGGTTTCCAGTACTCATTGCCCACCACTTCGACGGTCGCCGACGAGTTGGGAAAGTATGGCATCGGAGGCGACACTCCCTTTCAGGCGGCCTTCACTCGACAGAACTCGGATTCCGAACACGAATTGTATTTGTTTTCCAACACTAAGTACTGCCAGAAAGCGATGACCAACTCTTTGGGCGCACAACTGACCAAATGGTGGCCATGCAGTTGGAAGTCCGCCAAAGAGTTTCTCAAATGTCATAATTATAAGCCTATGAAAGCACTCGCAAAACACGGCTCTCCTGTCGGCTCTGTTCGCAGCGGTAGTGCCGATGGAAATGACACTCAAGTGGAGGCCCTCAACAACACCACCCAATCTGAGTCCACACACACTAAAACCAAATCCAGTGCTATTCTCGCCGTCTCTCCAAACGTTGTAATTTTGATTCTCTATATATTTATACAAATGTTTTGTAAATTCATTTATGTTTGAAAACTTCTTGTTTTATGAATTTCTTATTTAATTTCTTTGTTTTATAAATTTGT